TGTGTGTGTGTGTTTGTGTGTGTATATATATAAATATAGCTGCGAGCAGCGATGAAAGGGCCAAAGCCGGCGGCACCGCCACCCCGGTTATAGTGCCACCAACTGGCAGCAGGAATTCTGTCACTTTCAAAAAGCTTTGAAATCACCTGATTGCTTCAAACTTCACTACTATGATGTAAACACACGGCAGATGTAGACCTGGATGTAGACCTGACCTTTCAGAAGGTTGCTCTCGCATACTTTGTGGTTGATATGTGCCCTCAATGCACACTTTTGCAGAGCCCACACTGATACAAGCTCTACAGCACACTTCTTTTCGACAGTCAAAGCAGGGTTACGTTTTTGCACGTCGTGCACAATAACCCTAAAGGCACCAGGGTGGCGGTGCCACCGGCTTATATATATATATATATATATATATATATATATAAATATAGCTGCGAGCAGCGATGAAGGGCCAAAGCCGGTGGTGCCGCCACCCCGGTGCCTTTAGGTAACTAAAGGCACCGGGGTTGCGGTGCCACCGGCTTGGGCCCGTAATCGCTGCTCGCAGCTATATTTATTATTATTATTATTATTATTATTATTTTATCGACTATTCGGGCACTTTTGGGGCTCTTAACGTGCTCGAAAACTCTTGAAACTTTGCACATGGGTCAGAACCCGCGGCCATCAGGGCCGGGCTGAAGCTGGTACCCGGGCGTGGCAGGGGGGCTCGACAGCGCCCCCTGGAACGGGGTCCGAAAACTTGGTCCATAAATCAAACACGCTTCCATGTAATAATATGAAACTCGGTACACATATAGATCTCATCGGTTCATATATCCTTTGTACTTTTACTTTTTACCCCAGCCCAACAGGAAGTCGGCTATTATGGTTTGTTTGGAAGCGTATGCCCCTGGAATTCGATATACTCCTCCTAGAGAATTCAACCAATCGCAAGGAAACTCGGTCAGCATGATGTCAGGACATTGAGGATGAAAAATTGCCAGGGGATTTTTCATATCTCGAACGGTTTGGCCGTGGCGAGGAAACAAATTTATGGCGAATAATGGAAACAGGAAGTGTGTTATAACTTCTGCATACATTAACTGATCTTGATGAAACTTCAACAGTATGTTCGCTGTAAGAGGCCGATCACATGGATGTGACTATTGTGAGTCAAAGTTATAGCGCCACCAACTGGCAGCAGGAAGTGTGTCACTTTCTAAATGCTTTTGACAAAAGTGGGGGGGTTAGTTTTATCTACAGTTACAAAACTCAGCGTGTATATTCTTCTCCTCAAGCCAAACAACTTTCTAATTTAAAGTAATTAGCTCCGACCCTCAGAAAGTCAGATATTGTGGTTTGAATAGGGTCATTTTCTCTCTCTCTCTCTCTGAGCCAATATGGCAAGCCGCTTTAACATTTAATCATTTTAACCTACTAGTCTCTATTTTCATGCTACTAGTACTTATTTTTAGATACTAGTATCTATTCCATTAAGTACTGGTACTTATTCATTAGCGACTAGTGCTTATTCTTTAGTACTAGTGCCTATTCTTTAGATACTAGTGCTTATTCTTTAGATATTCTTTTGAATACGTATTAGTAGCTAATGAATAAGTACTGGTATCTATTTAATAGGTACTAGTATCTAATGACTTAGTACTAGTATTTATTGAATAAATACTAGTATATATTAATAGGTACTAGTATCTAAAACAGGGATCACCAACCCTGCTCCTGGAGAGCTACTGTCCTGCAGACTTCAGTTCCAACCCTGTTCCAACACACATGCATGCAATTATCAAGTAACCCTGAACAGCTTGATTAGCTGGTTCAGGTGTGTTTGATTGGGGTTGGAGCTAAAATCTGCAGGACAGTAGCTCTCCAGGAGCAGGGTTGGTGACCCCTGATCTAAAAGGTCATTTTCTCTTTCTCTCTCTCTGAGCCAATATGGCAAGCCGTTTTAACATTTAATCATTTTAACCTACTAGTCTCTATTTTCATGCTACTAGTACTTATTTTTTAGATACTAGTATCTATTCCATTAAGTACTAGTACTTATTCATTAGCGACTAGTGCTTATTCTGTTTAGAATATTCAAAGTGCTTATTCAATTTTTTTGCTTATTTATATTTTCAGAGCAGAAAATCCGATTTTTCTGCTTATTCAATATTGCATCTAAAAATGTAAGTGACTTGACGTGTGTGTGTGTGTGTGTGTGTGTGTGTGTGTGTGTGAGAGAGAGATGTGTCTGTTACAGTGACAAGAGTTTAACCCTTTAAGGCCTTGTCTTTTTGGATATATATTTTTTTTATTAAAAAAAAATGTGCATACAACCCATATATTTTAAATGTATTGTTTGCTTTAAATTAAATTAAGATTGTATGTTTGGTAATTGAACCTAAATAAATTTTAAATTAATGTGCTATATTTGAGATCAATACAATCAATGTGTTCCTTCATTTTAATCAACACTAACTTTATTCTCATCTGAATTATAAATAACTTATTTCTGTATAAAATAAAAAATCCCGAATAATCCAGACCAACCAGAGCGCACTATTTCTACAACATCATCAGTGCTGAAGCGAAACTACCAGAGCCGTTCGGCAGATAGCAAGCAGATATTTTGTGTCACGTCGTGCACAATAACCCTAAAGGCACCAGGGTGGCGGTGCCACCGGCTTTATATATATATATATATATATATATATATATATAAATATAGCTGCGAGCAGCGATGAAGGGCCCAAGCCGGCGGCACCGCCACCCTGGTGCCTTTAGGTAACTAAAGGCACCGGGGTGGCGGTGCCACCGGCTTGGGCCCGTAATCGCTGCTCGCAGCTATATTTTTGTTTTGTTTTTCTTCTGTGTTGTTTTTTGTAGATGTTTATATGTTCATGTTCTTAATATGTTATACATGTGTGTTTGTATTATGTACGCATCTGGTGGAAACAAATTTCCTCTCGAGGACAAATAAATCATCATTCATTAATTCCCTGTTAGAAAGTATTGAGGGGTGTGTCAGCTTGATTTTTATAGTATAGTAAAACCGGGTTTACGCGGGGCATTAAAAATCATTAAAAGTCATTAAATGGATTTTGCGGCCTTAAATAGCATCAAAAAGCATTAAATTGTAATCCTACAGGCATTAAAAATTTAGATAAAGTTTTGAAGAAAAATTTATATTAGCAATTTATTTGAAAATAGCCTTCTTAATAAATAATTTTAGTTTGTAGTTTTAGTTAATACATTTTTTTTTTTTGCTATAGCAAATTATGTACGTTAGTGTGTTTCAGTTTGGTGATTGCTTCCGGCCGGAGCAAAATTGCCTAGTGGTATGATAGTTGGCGGTTCTTCTCTGTGGTATTGAAAATTGATACATTTCAAGGTATCATATCAAATTAGTTTCATAACAACACAGAGTAGGGTGCCACAAATTGTAGAAAATTTTCAAATGGTGCCGTGGCTGAAAAAAGGGTTGGGAAACACTGTTGTAGAGCACAGATTCTCAAACCCTAAAATCAACTCGCATTTCTGACTTTCTTTCTTAAAAGTGCGAGTTTATTTCTCGCAATTCTGACTTTATTACACGCAAATGCGAGTTAATATCTCGCAATTCTGAAATCTTACAGTCCAAATGTAAGGAAAATGTTATTGTTAGAAAAGTTTATAGGCTATCTTTTAAATAATTTGGGTTTTAAATTAACATAAATATAAATGCAAGCTTTAATATATTTAGCTTTTACACAGAATACGAGCTTATTTCGAGCTCTTTGTGAAATTATAAGGCTTGATTTACTTGCATTAATAGTAAGATATTTTCTTTCAGCTGGCTTCTCAAACTTTCGCGGCAGCAGCAGTGTTTACTCCTGCCTTGCAAATGCGTTTTTTCATTGCTTTTTTTTTTTTTTTTTATAATCTTCAAAAGAGAAATGAATTGTACCGGCTCTCTCGCGGGAACTTTATAGCATTTTAACATAGAGGAGACAAAAAACATTTAATAAAAGATCTTTCATTATTATAAAATTATATTAATGATAAAAATGGAGGTCTGAAAGCCACTGAATTTGGAGTACTCAAACTGAATTGGATTGTATTTAACACAGCATAATTCAATATGTTTTCATATAGGACTACCAAGTGTGTTTTCAACAGAGTTTTCGGATTAGAATTTTTGCTGAAATGTGATTTTGACATTTCTAAATATAGCCTATTAAGTTTTCGTTTTTCCACAAGCAGATATTTCGATATACTGGAAAATTATTTTTACCTAATACATATTAACTTAAAACCGCATGGCGCCACCTTGTGGAATAATAGAACCATTACAAATAGGAAGACATTATTCAAACAAGAGTGGTATGAGAAAAAAAGTTTTACATGTTGTTGATTTGATAGATGAAGCGGGTCGATTTATTCAATATAATTAATTCATGGAGAAGTTTGTGATACAATGTTCCTTTAGAGAATGTAATAGTTTGTGTAGAGATATCCCTCTTACATTAGAACAACTCTTATACATTGAACTTTGTTAAGTTGCCTGAGTTGAAGATTGGTAAAGAATACATTGGGGACAAAAGGTAAATTATTGTACGATAATGGCGTATTCTTTGATACTGAAACATTTAGAAACAAATATTGTAATTATATTAAAATGTCAAATGTACCTAAAATGAAGAAAATTCAGTTTAGAGTCATTAATGTTTATCCTGCTGCTAAAATTTTACGGAAAACCAGGCCTATACACACAAAATGAGAGATATAGGTTACGACTGGAGATATTTGTGTATATTTTCATATGCATATTATTGTTCCGTACTTTGTATAGGCCTACTGATGTTGTTCAATAAAAAATATAACAAAATAAATATATACCTATATATATATATTATTTTAAATGACGTATGGGGTCTATTACGTCAGTGTAGTGGTAGTGAGCAAGGGTTCGGTTTGAGTGACAGCTACTTTCTACCAATAGCGTACAGACTCAGAATACCATCGGCCCAATCAGGAACAGGTGGGCGTGACCAGAGGATTAGTGCGGAATCAAGCTGTGTTGTTGAACTGGTTACTGTTATATTTATATAATATTCCCAGAATAACGCAGTATTGTCGCAATGGTTTCGCACTCGCTGGCTTTACCCATGATCTGCTTCACCACGCTGTGGGGTCTGGTCGGGATTGTCGCCCCGTTTTTCGTCCCGAAAGGACCAAACAGAGGGTGAGGAATGATGCTGGAACAGGCCGAACAGAGATTCATCCATCCATCTTTAAACGCATCCATTCGCTTCATTTAAATATCATTGCAGTGTTATTCCTTATTGCATTATTACATTGATTTTTGATTAAAGTGTTTTATAATTACAGGGTCATCATAACCAGTTTGGTGCTGACCGCCGTTTGCTGCTATATATTGTGAGTATAATGTAAAATATTTGGAAATATATGTAAAACAGACGTTTATTGATATTTGGTCATTTGATTAAAATATTACCCTCTATGCATGCATGATAATGTAGGATATCAGCGTTACAAATTCACTGTTTGCAGTGCATGTTTAGCTGTTGTTGGTGATATTGTAAACTAAAATGTATGAAATAATATACAGATTATTCTGAATGTTTAATATGGTATGCACTCATTGCAGCTGGTTAGTAGCAATACTAGCCCAAGCAAATCCTCTATTCGGACCTCAGCTTAAAAATGAGACCATCTGGTACCTGCGGTACTTCTGGGAGTAGACGGAGGTAAACCTGCATGTCAGATCACTGTTGAAAACTGGATACCATAATGATTGAGATCTGATTCGTTCTTATGCTCATGTCTTGCAGGTGTCGTTTGGAAGATTCAGAATATTTATCTCAACTGGCTTTACTATTACAGTCAATAATCCCACAAAACAGAGAAGGATCTACTTCAAGGGAACAAATCCTTGTGTTATGAAACAAGTCTTAACATTAAACAACAGTTACAATGTGTTACTTAACATAATGCAACATAATGAATGCAAAAATTGGAAAATACTACTGAAATTATGTACAAATAGTGATATGTGAAGAATTATGAAGAAATCTATTTGTCTGAGAGTAATATTGACTACTGTATGAATGTTTTTGTTTTGTTTAGTAAGGCATGTTGAAGAATGTGTGACTTTAACCTATTTTTATTATGTTGTCCTCACCTGCATGTATCCACTTTTACTTGTTAAAATTATTTTCGTATTATCGTTTTTATTTATTTTTTTTGTATGTGAATGGCGTCCTATTGATGTTTTCTGTCACCAGATGTAGATTTTGAAGCTGTGTCATACGTGTTAATGAAAAACCAGGAAACTCTTAAGAAAATAAAGCAGAGCATTGAAGTGAAGCGACTGAAGTTCTGTGGTGTTGTTATGATGGCATGACCTGCTCTATATAAAGTATTCATAATTGGAGAATGTTTGAAATATGAATACGTGTCAGGCCACAGGTCAAGGAGTCATAGGGCAGAAGAAGTGTACAGATATTTTTGCAATTCAAAGACAGTGTACAACAATAAGAATTGATTAAAAACTATTATTGAAAGGATCTGATGTTAATAGACAAGCAAGAAATCAAGCAAAAAGACCTTGACGGCATGCGGTTCGTGGGTTTTCTGTCTAAGGTTGATTAATTGTGACCTGTTTGGAAGAACTGAAAAGCGTTTTATATTCTGTGTATTCTTAGTAATAACTACAAACTTTGCCTGTAAACTAATATTTATATGTTAACATTGATAACAAAATGAATCAGAAAGTTCATGATCTGTTCTTTTTTTTAGCCAGATTTATTTTTTAACTTTACAAATGTATTAAGCTAGTCTTGATCATATTCATGACTTATGGCTTTCATAAAGGAAAAAAAAACTAAATAAAAATGTTTATGTTGATCTACATCGATATGCCAAAATCCTGATGCATGATTATTAATGCTTAAGAACAGGTTTTCAGCCTTTCTGTAAACATTTTTGCCATTTATTTTTTTAAGTGTTCATTAAAGAGTTCACCAACCTCTGAGGTAAATCAGAATATCACAAACTTTCATATGAAGCAAAAATATATATATATATGAAAATATCTATAATATCTAATTTAATAAAGAAATGAACAACGTAATAAAAATTGTAAACGGTAGAAAAACATGAAACTATTTTAGTTAATAGCCTATAAATATTTTAGTTTTTAAATAATATATTGTTTGTTTGTTTATTTATTTAGCTAAATAACCAGATTCGTAAATATAAGTATAATAGTTGTAGTTTATACGTGTCGAGTTTATTTGTAAGATTATGACATTAGCGACATTCGCAGGTCTTTCAGGGAGTGGGCGGGGTCACCGCAGAGCTCCGATTCTGTGATTGGTCTATATTTCTCTGCAGGCTCATGGGTAGTGTAGTTTTTAACTAATGGTAAACATGGTTTTAAAAATTAAATAACGTGAACTGACTGCTTAAACGGAAGTACATATCATTAATAAACAATCTCGGAGCTCGTGTACATCTGTCTTTACAGTCTTTATAACTTGTCGTTCAAAGTTAAGTCCCCTTTGGAGAAAATGAATGGGATTTAACGTATACTTCCGGAGTCTGACTGCGCTGCAAGCCAAACGCTGAGGTGAAACTACCAAATTAATATTATTTACAATAAGCGACAGAACGTTTTAAGAAGGTTTCCAGTGAACTTCAGAACAACCTCCTCATTTATATTCACGTTACTGGGGTGTTTTTGCATACGGACTTTTTTCAGTCAATGACGTCACGTGAAGACTCATTTCTGCTTATGCAGGAGAAAGTGAACACAACACTCTCTGGAGCTCATCACAACACAAGCAGGACTGTTTCTCTACTTCAGATACAATAATAATACACATCAGTAATAAAGAGACACATTGTGACACTGTTTGACAAAGTTTGGACATCTGCAGCAACCAGGTATGCAAAACTCAGCAGCATTTTAAATGCTTTATATTTATTTATTTATGCAATATGTTGCCCTTTGCGAATACATAGGCTTCTTGCGAGGTTTAAACACAACATGACTAGTTGACTTTAGTTTTCCTAAATATGTTTTCCTACATTGCCAGCATTTTGAGTTGATAAGTGTGTTGATTATTAACTGCTTGGTATAGAGTTCACCTTTTCCTTTAACCATCTAATATTATTATTTTTCCTTTTTTTTACAGTCAGATCCCAACCACTGGCATGTTTGCAATTCGCAGTTTCAATCTTCTGTGCAGAAGATCAACAGTGTCAACATGGAGAAATACAAGTCAGAGTGCTGGGAAAAGGCTGGATATAAGTGGGATTTATCCTCCCATCGCCACTCCATTTACCCCGAGTGAAGATGTGGACTATCAGAGACTTGAAGACAATCTTAAGAAGTACAGCAACTTACCTTTCAGAGGCGAGTTAAAGAGGTTTGCAGTCATTGTTTGACACGTGCAGTCAAAACTACAATACAGCATATTATGTAATTAAATGTTATATATGAATATAAAACCTACAACACAGAATATGTGGCATATATACCGTAATAATGTAGATTTTGTGTGACTCTTCTTTATGCAGACAACAGTAAACAGATGTTAGTGAACCGTTGCAGGTTAAAGTCCATCTTTAAACCTTTTACAGTGCTCGACCTAGTGGACTTTTTTGAAAATGACATGTCAATATTTTTCCTCATGCTAAAGTCAGTTGAGATGTGTTATTTGTCAACTCCTCCACTGGCAGGTCTTGTAGTGCAGGGCTCTAATGGGGAATATCCATACCTGACCGCGGAGGAGAGGGTGGAGGTGGTGAAGAGGGTCAGACAGGCCCTGCCAGAGCACCAGCTGGTCATGGCTGGATCTGGCTGTGAATGTAAGTCTCTCTTCTGCCTGTATTATATATACTGTATATATATATATATATAATCAGGGCTGTATGTTCACTTTTTTGCACATAGCACTGGCGCTACGGAGGTTGAAAGTTTTCTAGCAATTGTAGCACAAAGATAAAACGGACATTAATGTGCCTTACACAAAATACAAACATTAGCAAGGCAACAGCTCTTGCTTAACATTAAGTCAATTGTGTTTACATAGGCCAATATCACTAATCACGATCCAAGCAACATCCATCCGGTTTGGTTGAGCACTTGAAAATACCACTTCGTTTTCCTACAAATCATTAGAAAGGTGTAAAATTTTATTATAAAATATTAAATTGTTACGATAAAAATCTGTGACGACAATTTCGTAATTTTTGTAAGGATAATCTTATATATCCACGGAGAGGAGAAAAACCCTGTACACTTCTCTACACTGGAGAAAAACCTATGGATTTACATATTCCCTATTTTTCCCCAAAATAGGGTGTTGTGAGCATTATTGAGGTCACACATGTTATGTAATGTCTGTTTCATTCATCCCTCGTGCAGAAAGTCCACAAGTGAGACTCATAGAAGTCATAAAACGTATGATGTTCCAGGAGGTCCTTTATATGGATAAAGACATCCAGATATGATAACTATATATCATACAGATATATATATATATAACATCGAGAATAAAACACAGAGAGAGACGTATTGACTGATGAAGTATGAAGACAATAAACACATTGCGACAATACAATGGCCACGTTTTTCTAGACATCTCGGGTATTTTCATTTAAAATGTTGCGGTTTCATAATCACATCGAGCCAAATCGCAATTCTGGCTCAATTTCTGTTTAATCATGCATCCATAGACAACAACCTCTCACTTCACTCAAGCTGCTCTGTCTCACACACATGCAAAACTGTATCGCACGCGTGCTACTGTGCTAAATGCATTCATCGCACAGACCAGCTATTTTGTAGCACATATAAGATTTACACACCAGATGTTGTTTTGTCCTCCTCTGTGTGTTGTTGTAGCCACCAGAGGCACGATCCTCATGAGCCAGAGGATGGCTGAGGCCGGGGCCGACTGCTTGCTAGTGGTGACGCCTTGTTTTTACCGAGGTCGAATGGACAGCCGAGCGCTTATAAACCACTACACCAAGGTAAGTCTTGAGTAATTGTTTTTCATTGTTTTTAATGTGGTCTCTATAAAGTGGAGAGAACATTTTCATGAATAATTATCCATTTAATCAAGGACTGTTCTCTCCGGCGTGATCAAATGAAACCGTGGACGTTATGAATATCTTTTTTGCGCTCATTTGCATTTTACTTAGTTCAGTTGTGGTTGAGCTTCACACTCCGTCTTATTAAAATGCATTGTCGCTTCTCTCTTTCCCGAGGTGGCAGATTCCAGTTCAGTGCCGGTCGTGTTGTACAGTGTTCCAGCAAACACTGGTCTGGACCTTCCCGTGGACGCGATCATACAGCTCTCACAGCACCCCAATATCGTCGGCCTCAAAGACAGTGGTGGTGATGTAAGAGCTACCATTAGACAGATTTAGCCATCATAATAATGTATAATTAACACTTCAGTTGATTAGCTGTATATAACATTTCAGTTGAGAGCTATATGAGAATTACATAATCAGATTCCAAAAATTACTTGTAATTAGATTATATTACATTTTAAAGTACTCGTAATCAGACTACAGTTAATTTTTTATTGATCACATGTTATTTTCACAATGGCAGTAAATTATTCATAATTCATTTATTCTTCCAACTACTTCCTTTTTATCCTTTAAATGTTCCTTTCTAAAAACGTCACTGCTTATATCCGTTCAGAAGGTTTTCCAGGTTTGTGGAATCACACACACACACACACACACACACAGACACAGACACTGGTCATGTGACCATCGGACACTGGTCATGTGACTATCACTGAAAACTGAGACCCACAGCATTCGATCACAGAAAACAAGTGTTTTCTCAACATTGCAACAGTGCATATCTAATCAGCTCCTGACGAACACATTAATTATTACTTGAATTATCACACAGTGAGTAATCTAACCATGTATTACTGTCTTTGGAAGGATTTTGTCTTTCTAACACATTAAAATCTTCAAATTCACATAATTTCATATTTACATGCAATGCAGGGATTCCCCAACTTTTTTTGTTAGCCGAAACTCTTTGACCTACCGTAATATATATTTACTTATACAGTTTTTTTTTTTTTTTTTTTTTTACTCTTTATTTATTCAAATTCAAATAATAACAAACATAACAGAACAAAACAGAACAGCAGGGTGTTATGTTACAAAGATTCCCTTTCACACTTGGGTCTTATAGATTATCCATTTCTTCCATCTCTTTTCAAAAAGAGCTGATTTCAGCCTAATAAAGAGTGATTTTTTTCCATTGTAAAGATTTCTTCCATTATCTCATTCCATTGTGACAATGTTAAAGTGAGACTCTTCAGCCAGTTCCTTGTAATAGTTTTTTTGCTGGCCATCAACAAAACTTTGTAGAGATACATATCCTCTGTTCGTATAACTGAATAGGAAAGTAAACCAAGGTACATAGTTGGAAACGCATAGCCCAAGACAACCCTTATTTCAGTCGCTATGATTTCCCAGAAGGGTCTGATTTTGGGACAAGACCAAAATACATGAGAATGATTGGCATTCGTACTGCCACAGAGTCTCCAGCAATGCTGAGGGGTCTTAAGTTGTTTACTTTTGATATGAGGTGTAATGAAATATCTAATTATGTTTTTCCAGCCAAATTCTCTCCACTGTCTTGAGCTGGTGGAAGTGTGTTGAAATAGACAAATAGAATGCCAATCATCCTCTGACACCTTGATTTGTAGTTCAGATTCCCACTTTTGTTTTAGATATTGTGAATTAGTACCGTTACAGTTTTGCAGGCATTTATACAGTCTAGAAACAATTTTTGAGGGTAATTTTTTTGGTATGCTCCCAACACCAAATCTACCAGTTCACAGCCCTCCTGTGATGGGTGAGACCTTATCTCTAAATCATAAAAGTGCCGTAGTTGGATGTACCTAAACAAGTCAGAGTTGATCAGGCCAAATACTTATATAGGTTTTAAATGAATAAATTGGGCCAATAATACATTTAAGTCAACAATAATAAATAAATAAATCAAATGAAGTTCACGGTTCTCTTATTTCGGTTAATGGACAGATGACACGCAAGTAAACAAATAACTTTCATTTTGATTGTTTTTATTTTTGAATTATTTATTTTAATTATGATTTAATAGCTTTTCATTAAACTCACAAACCCTCTGCAGTTCCATCACGAACCCCAGTCTGTAGTAATAATAGTAACCCTGATGCAATGTAATATTTAACGCACTTCATGTTGTTGATAACAAAGAATGGAATATATATTCTTTCTCTTTGTATTTTATAAAGTACAAGTTTATATTCAAATCCACGTGATAAACAAATCAGTTAAAAGTAATCTAAAAGTAGTCAGATTATAATACCTTAAATGTTTAATGTAATGGATTATGTTACTAACTAACATTTTCTGTAATGTAATCTGGACTCAGTAATCGACCAGCACTGCCTTAGACATAAGTGACAGGAATCAAAATGGACTCTCTCTCTCTTTTTCATGGGAGTGTGTTCATTTCTCACAGATGCTCCAGTGTTATCTTTTGACTTGAGTTAAAAAGTAATCGCTGTATTCAAAGTTAAAGGTTTTGTGCCATTCTGAATCGCCCTCGCCTCTAACCACTACATTTATGTGTAAAAATACTTTATATAGCAGTTCTGTTCACGATCTCCCTTATTTTACAGTCTTCTATCACCTTAAACACATTCTTCTCTGATAATTGATAGATCACCAGAATAGCTGTGATCGTGCAGAAGACCAGACCTCAGGGTTTCCAGGTGCTTGCAGGATCAGCGGGTTTCCTCATGGCTGCGTACGCTGTAGGTGAGAGTGACTTCCTTATCTTTACACACTCAAAGTATTAATACTCTTATTAACAATATACTTGGATGCACCCTGTCATAAAATATTTTTGTATGATTGTATGTATGTTTCAAATAATAGATAATCAGAAATTCAGAATCAATTTAATTAATTGCAAAACATAAACTTGTAGTTGTACTTCAAAAATGTACACAAATTAATAAATATTTGTGCAACAAATAATCGCGATTAATCACAACCAAAATAAAAGTTTGTGTTTACATAATATATGTGTGTGTACTGTGTATAATTATTTTGTATATATAAATACACACACATGCATGTATATATTCTAAAAAGGTTTATTTATTTTATACATAAATATTTATATAGATAATATAAATGATATAAATATATACAGAATGCAAATATTTCTTAAATATATACATGCATGTGTATTGACAAAATAATTATACACAGTACACACACATTATGTAAACACACAATTTTTTGGGATGCAACTAATTGCGATTAATCATTGCACAAAAATCAATTAATAAATATCAATAAATAAATATCAATTTTTTCACTTTACAGTAGGCGACTTAAAATGGTGGGAAATTTTCTGTAGATCTGTTTAATGTCACAATGAAGAAATAAAAATAATTTTTTGGTTAATTATGACTTTATTTTGAGGTTGCACATTGCACAACTGATTAATATGCAGTGTTGTGTGTAACGCAACTACTTTTTCGGGTAAAAAGTAGTGTAACTCGCTACTACTGAAAATTTGGTAACGAAACGTAGTTCCTTTTTCAATTCGGCGAAACGTTACTTTTCCCAGGGACAGATTTGACAGCGATCTCCGTCATTTGACAGATTTGACAGCGATCGCCATCTCCGCAGTGAACGCCTACAGAGAGAAATGCACATAATGGATTACATAATCAGAGAGTATAGCCTATGTAGCCTGTGAGACATACACTGAGTTTCGGTTAATTTATGACGAGGTCCGCTCCAGTTCACGCTCAACAAGTGATCGCGCCGGCGCCTCCATGTCATGATTATCTTGTCTGCTATATTTGCTTCTTATTTATTAAATCCAGGCAATTGGTTGATAAAAATTGTTTAAAATTAAGATACAATTTATTCAAAACAAAATTTAATGAAGTGGTCAAAATCATGTCCGACCCACTCAATGTCTCCCGATATATCGCACATCCATCTTACTCATGCTGTTCACTTTTCATAATCAACATAGGTGGACAAAAAATAACATTATAATATTTAAACAAATATGAAACTAAATGCGCTTATTTAATGGCTACAACACGTATAGAAGGCCTAGACTCTCTATTTGTACAAATTGCTGCACATTAATTTAATTCTGAATTTTGCACACATAAGTTGAAAGGCATTTGTTTACGTGCATAGTAAAACATATCTGCAACATTTATCAAGTTCACGGATAATTGTGCGTGCATTTATTAATCATTATGATACTAAAATCATAATAAAGTAGGCTGCTATACTATGTACAAAAAAATCGGATGAGCCCAGAATATGAACGCAACGTGTTTAATTACACGTTAAGCATTTTCCTCCCATAGAAAACCATTATAAGAACGCTTAATTTGGCTTAATGCAGATTAGAATATCCCCTTATGATGTCGAAATAACAAGATAAGTTTTTTTTTTTTTCTTCACCATGCGGTTCAGGACTTCCCTAGAATACAGCCTGAATATAATTGCTTTCTTTCTAGCCCCTCCCTAGCGCCGCCCATGCATATGCCTATCCATTAACGGGCATTTCTTCATAAATATTCAAAATTTTGATAAATGCATTATGCATTTATGGCATTATATATAGTAGAACTTTATGTAGGCCTACATATTTAGGAACAGATATTGGGTTCTGCCCAAAGTCAAGCAACATAAAAATAACGTAAAAGTAACGAGTAACGTAAAAAGTTACTTAACTAAGTAAAGTAATGGATTACTTTTTTTTAAAGAAGTAACGAGTAACGAGTTACACTACTTTTTAAAAGTAACTTCCCCAACACTGTTAATATGTACTGTTTGTCTGCAAATGTGTCTACAAATTGGTGCAAATTCATCATAACATACAGGAAGTACCTTACGAGTAATCATTTTTGCAATTGTAATTAAAAAAAAACAAATCCTGCAAATTCAGTCACCATCCTTGAAGGGCAATTGATTCTTGTACATTCACAGAACATGACAATGGTGTAACAGTACAAATAGGGTCCTTAATAGAAACATGTCAGTCCTAATACGATATCCACTGCATTTTTCTCATAATGGCAAGGTTGGATGACTTCCACGGAGACTAAACTACGGTTAATCACACATGTCAGCTTGTGGGAAAGCGTCTGGAGTCTGTCAATTAATCAACACAATCAAAGTGGCTTTAATGTCTGTCAGAAAGCCTGGCGGGTTCTGGGCTATTATAATGTGCATGGGTGGTGTCGGCCTGTCAATCAAGCTGTTGTTTATGTTGGAGTGGTTTATACTGTGTCAATCAGATTGTAGGGGTACTGAATTGCGAAATATTTTTCACTTGGACGTTTTGGGCTGTATTTGTTGCATGCATGTTACTAATGGGACCAATTATGCAAAATTCACTTTTACATGGTGTTTGAACATAAATGTGTGTCGGGAGTGTGTGTACACAACCACCCTATAATGGTAAAAATCCACCCACTCCTCTTTTTTAATCCCCCAGTGTCTTTGATAAGCCGTTTGCAGATTGTAGCTTTTGTGACGTCGTATGTTAGGCCCCGCCCATGACTGCTGACAGACTCCGCCCTATTAGCTTAGCTCCTCCCCTCAGTGATCTGAACACAGTCCGCCATGTTTATCTCCTCGCCAGAGCATTTAACAACTTATCAAAGCTATTAAAGTTATTCAATCAAGATCAGTGAGAGATTTTCTATTTTTCTTTTGTTGTTTGATTCATATTGACAGCATATATAGCATTAAATACTGTATATTACGCTGCTTTCACTTTAATACACAGATCTAATATACACATGCGATTTCTTTACTTGCTGTTTACATTCACTGACATAACCGACTGTGTTCATGTGAACTTTGTGTGTTTTTGACATGACCTTGGGTGTATTTTACAGGTTAAGCGCAATAAGAAGTGAAAGAGAACTTAGTTTAATACTGAGGTCGCTCCGTCTGACTTCCAGCTTTCTGTGCGCTTGCTTCGGATGTGTGCGCTCAGAAAGCCATACATCAGAAGTTTAGATTGATATGGCTTTAAAACACATGCAGATAATAAACTTTCATAATGATGAAGAACTGCAAAGTCACGTGAGCGTGACCGCGATAGAGATGATAATCAAAACCAAACAGATTTTTTTGTTAGTTTTTGGTAGAGCATCCGAGGCACGAGCTGTACAGGCTCCGCCCTCTTCTGGGAAAAGGGGCGGGGTTTATCAGCTCATTTGCATTTAAAGATACATGCACAAAAAAGCATGTTTTTCCTTCCACTCAAAAATCGGCATTTACAACATGGAATAATAAATGATCTGGGTACACTTTATTTTACAGTGTCCTTGTTACATATGTTACATGTACTTACCATAGTAATTATGCATGATTACATGCAACTAACCCTCAACCAAATCCTAATCCTACCCTAACCCTATAGTAAAATACATGTACCTACCATTAGTATTAACTGTATAATCACACTGTAACAATGACACCTTAAAATAAAGTGTATCCATGATCTGCTTAGTATTTTGAGCTGAAACTCCACAGACATATTCTGGGGAGTCCTGAGACGTACATTACATCTGGTAAAAAGAGGCATAATAGATCCCCTTTAAAGGCCGATTTCTCTCTGTTTGCTGTAGGGGCCGTGGGAGGCGTGTGCGCCCTGGCGAATGTCCTGGGTCAGCAGGTGTGTGATCTAGCACAGCTGTGTGTTTCAGGACGCTGGGACGAGGCCAGAGAGCTCCAGTATCGCCTCATCGAACCCAACACAGCAGTGAGCATCGCATCGCCATGGCAACGCCACACATTTATACCACACATACATTTACTGCCATATAGGCATGATAAACATGGGAAGCAACCCTTCCCCCAAGAGCTGTTGAGCTTTGCTTCAAAGGCCAAGAGAAAGATTTGCACTACGGTGCAAATGCGCTTTTTAAAGAAGAACATAATTGGCTGATTCTAAAGGGTTTGATCGGAACGAACAGACTCTGAATGATGCCTTTGACCTTGTTTAAAAGAGGACCAATGATTGATTTTGACTGTATTCATTAAAACACAATGTCTCCCCCTGGTTTTTTGTAGGTAACTCGACAGTATGGCGTTCCAGCTTTGAAACAAGCGATGGAGTGGTTTGGATATCACGGTGGCGCGTGCCGGTCCCCTTTGCAGCCGCTATCAACGGCAGATTTAGCACGGCTTCGACTGACTTTCTCCTCCGACGGATGGCTGTAGAAGTATAGGGAGGGCAGCAGAATCAAAGTGTTACAGTAAACCCAGTGTTTAATTATTCTTTTTGTGATTTTCTCATGAGATTTTCTCTTGAAAGAAATTTCTTCCATTCTGGATGTTTAATGTTGTGTGCCGAGGATTTATAAACAAAACTGTTCATTCAATTTTTGCATAGTTTTATAGTTTTAATGATTATTTTCTAGCATCACAGTAATGTTTCTCTATACATGGTGCAACACATCTTTAAAAGCCATTCCCGATGTGACATTACGTTTTATACTGTATTTACTGTATTCACTCTCGAATTGCTAGATGTAGATGGACTTCAAAATTTAACATGCAACTGTATTTTGAAAAATACAGTATGAAATACTTATTTGAGTAAGAGAGGAAACAATACTTTCAATATTTTCTTTTAGAAACGGAACACTTTTTTTTTATGATTTCAATTGGACAATATTATGTTGTTTTGAAGCAAAAAAAGCTTTGCATATTTTGAAAGTACAATATTTTTTATTCATCCACCCACTCTCCAAACCACTTAATATCTGTCGGATTACGGGACAATATTATTAAATCCTTATATTTACATTAAAACAAAATTTTCAATACTTTTAAATACAATATTTGGGAAACCAAACAGTATTTTGTTTTAATAATGCATCAGAGGGTTCATGTGCGACCACAAGTGGGCGCTCTACACCACAAACCAGCGTTTAAATTGTCTTATGAGGTGCAAACCTGTGATCTTTTTTAAAGATATAAAGAATACAGAGCATTGGTATGTAAGTCATACATCTCTAAATGGTAGATTGTTGGAGGATGAGAGAGATAGAGAGAGAAAAGTATTGCTACATCTTTTGACTCTTGCTGGGAGCAAAATGACAAGAAACTCTAGACAGAGAGCAGTCATTATCCCCTCTCTTTACCTCATTCTCAGTCTATTTAGAGAGCTGTTGTTCTGACATTTCAGCTTTTTTTTCACTGTAAATTTCTTGTCTGACTGTCCTTGTTGCCAAAGCTTATATGAACTATTCTTTTCTTCTCCCGTCTCCTCAACCATTTCTACAGCACGTCTCCTCACCCAAGGCAATGCGTTGACCTCGAGACAACACCAACACATTACCCTCTCAGTCATTAATGCAGTGGTAATGAAGAAAGATGTTTTAAAGGTATTCATATCACTCTTCATCCTCCTGACCCGTATGCGTCTGCTGTGCTTTCAGCCCGAACCCTTCGTGGAGGTGCCCACATGATGAACTAGTGCCTCAGGCAAAGCCTCGTTTCTTCTGACAATCTCTAACATTTAGATTTGTAGGCCTCAACAATCAGACTCAAACCCGGTCTAATGTTGAAGTTGATTCCCACAGTGTTTCTCCTTAGGTTACTGGTAGGGTTACATAGGCAGAACACAGACTTCCATACTCGTATTATACTTTGGTCAGAAATGAAAAGCTGCCAAAGATTTAACTGAACACAGAGGGGAAATATAATGTGCAAAATGTGTCAAAAACACAAAAACAAAACACATCTTGGTCTCGATCTATCAAAAAAAACAAAACAAAAAAAAGACCCTAATGAAAAAAAAACGATACCATTTTAAATACATTTAAGTATAGTACAAAACATTAACATATTTACTGGCATGTCGCTTGAGACTAACTCATATAGATATTATAATTAAACTTTATTTGGAGTACTTTATTGCACAATGCACATTTATTAATATTAAGTTTTTAACATCACTATTAGTAAGGATAGAATGATGATCACTGTATAATAACAGTCTTTAAATGCAAGTTATTTAAAGAAAGTATTCCATTTTAGCACAATCAAATATACGTATCTTTAAATATTTTTAAAGACAAACTAGATATCTTTAGTTGGACATCAGCACTAATGAAACAAATAAAGTGCATTAAGTATAACAGTAGTTGTTCCAATTTAGCAGACTTCAAGTAAATCAATTTAGCAAACCAAAAGTACAATATGTAAATGTATTTGTTGTATACTTATAAATGTACTTCAAATACGTACATGTTGGTATTTTTATTTTTAACTAGGGGATAGAATTGGCAATATATATTTCAGTCCCTGAACAAAGAATATATTTTGAATGTCAGGTAAAGGCTGAACAGTTCTGGATATTTCAATATTTTGCCATGGCAACAGGCCCTGCGCTTGGAACAGGCGAAATTGTTGCAGCACTTCACATACTGCAGCATTGCGAGGTGATGCAAATTAAGGAGACTACAAATGTCCCTATGTCAACAGAGCAGGTGGTGAGGTGAAAGTCCATTTTAAACACAACCTAAAACAAGTTTTGTGATGATAGGAAGATGTAAAGGGGCACTGGCCTATGGACATCAAGTGAAATGTTAAATAAATTCACTCTGGTTATGTGCTCACTTGCAGACGCATAATTATCCATACAATTATGAAGCAAAACAAACTTTCAATATTATTACTGGCTATCGTATTTGCTTATGTTTTAATCTATAATTTTACTTTGCAAACGTCTTAAAGGCTTAAAATCAGTCAACCTTCATATACAAAATAAAGTTTCCAAAAAAGTTATGGAACTAAAAATATCACTATCTGCTCTCAAGTTGTCTAATTAGAAGGTTGGTGTATATTAGTTAAATGTTTTCCTTTGGTTTTCTTTCTTTTTTTATTAAAAATGTTCGCCTGTAGTTATCTTAAGAACTGTTAAACAGTAGCCTAAAATATCTCTGTTTATATGTTAGGATGTGGTTTTTATATAAGCTTTAGTTACCAACACCGTTCTGCTTGCTGTGACTGAAATACCTTCGTCAGCCAAAGCGCCTTGCACTGGACACTAATTAATTAACAAATGATTTACCTAATTAGTCGTTTAGCGGATGCTTTTATGCATAGTGACACTGAATGTAACAGTTAGTACAGGAAGAGTCCCCCTGGAGCAACCTGGGGTTAAGTGCCTTGCTCAATGGTGCAATGCTTACTGGATCATCCTTGAGGAGTTTGAACCTACAAGCCTTTCAGATACCAACCCAGAGATTTAACCACTACTAGGCCACAGCACGCACATTCATCAAACACAATGGCCCGTGGACACACTGGATCTCTCTGCTGAAGTAAACATTATTATCCACCTGTTAAACCACCAGAGCTGTTTATTTCTGTCAAAACTGGCATAATTGTTTCTTGATGGCTTATTTCCTACTTGGATAAAATCTCCTCTCATATCTCTAATGGCTAACCCACACTTTCACCACTGGAGTCCCACAGGGTTCAGTATTGAGTCCGCTTCTAGTCTCCAAATCTGTTCACAATATTGCTCAGTAATTTCACCAAAATGTCTCCGCCTTTGCAATCTGAGAAAAGATCTCAGCATGCCGATCTGATATATCAACCTGGTTGACTACTATCACGAGGCTGACATGATTCTCTCAAATGTGAACACCATGCACAACATCCTACAAATCCTTACTTGTGCGCTTGTTAATAAAAAAGATTCTGAATTACAAATGTAACATTTCTGAGGTAGTAGTAAGTCATGAAAACCTTCCCGCACACAATGTCCTTCGATTAAGAGAAAATCTGCTAAAGTAAATGTCTGAGGTATCACACAATCTGAAACAAACATGCTTATTTACTCTACATGATAATCAGGAACTGAAATGAAACCAGACTAGATCAGTTCTGTAATATTCAATGAATTTAGACCCCAAAATGTGAGCTTTCTCATGTCACAACTCACTGCATCGCTACACTGTCAAGAAGAGTGAACTTATCTTTCATTGCTTGGATGGACTGCTAAATTTAACACACTAAAAAGAATCTAAATAATCAATATAAATAACTGAAAGTGACAAGGAAAGTAGCAGTATGAATAAAAGCAGTAAACATTAAAACAAATAGTAATTTGCATAATATATTCATGCCGTGGTGCATTACTGAGAGCTCAAGTACCGCATCTATCACAGTATTTTTGTCCACAGATTCCACACCTCGCACAAAATGCCCTCCTTCAACAGACTTTGAGTCTTAGTGCTTAAATTATCACAGTACAAGCATGACAGAGACACAGATTATCAAAAGGACATTAGTAAAAATAAATGCAATTAGTCTGCAAACTAACTAAACTAACCTTTCTGGAAAGGCTGCTCTTTAAGTGGTCTGTATTTTGTACTTTTTAAAATATATTTTTTTGAAGTCTTTTAGTTCTATTCTTTCCTAAAAATTCTAGTTGTAATTCATGAGGAAAACACTCTTCTACCCAATTGCAATATTCACAGGTTCAGATCAAAAACATTTTGTCTTTCTGCATCTGTAATATGTATAGCATAAAAATATGTATACATTGCAGACAAAATGCCTGCAGTTAAAGAAAAAACAGGCATGTTATTTTCAGGGGTTGTTCTCCAAAAGAAGGCAAACTCAATTGTGAAAGGGTTCAAATGTAATACATTAAGTCTTTATGTCAGTTCACTTAAGATGCATTTATTTGTGATCATGCTGCTGAGTGAGATGATGGGTCATGATTATGATGTTTCCCTGTAGATATGTGGTACAAAAAAAGATGTGTGACAAAAGATACAGTTTAGATGAAATATCTAACACAATAAGTTTTCTTGGATTGAATACTGGTAATAGTGGACATATTATGAATTGAAGTACTGCATTTATTGGGAACACTTTATTTTGATGGTCCCTTTGACACATTCTGTTGACTATAAGTAACTTTGCAACTACATGTCTACTAACTCTCATTAGAGTATTAGTAGACTCTCTGCTTAATATCTGCTAACTCTTTATTGTGATGGTCCTCTAACAGACAACTTACTGACTATAAGTAACTTTGCAACTACATGTCAACTTATTCTAACCCTAAACCTACCAGTCTATTAATACTCTAATGAGAGTTAGTAGACATTTAGGTGCAACGTTACTTATAGTCAACAGAATGTGTCAAAGGGACCATCAAAATAAAGTGAAACTGAGTATAATTTTTTATACTCATTAGATAGGAATGAGAGTGAACCAATGAAAGCTGGAAAAAAAAA